TTTTGTTACAGTGACTGTGTGTATTCTTTCTATCTTTTTTTGATGTTTCCTGTGTCATTCAATATTTTCCCCGTAGAATCCTTCACTATTGCAAATCGAGGCTTGAATTTTTTCTTCAGTTCTTTCAGTTTGAGAAATGCCGAGCGTGTTTTTCCCTTTTGGTTTTCTAACTCCAGGTCTTTGCACATGTCACTATAATATTTTACTTTGTCTTCTTGAGCCACCCTTTGGAAAATCTTCTGTTCAGCTCTTTTTAGGTGATTATTTCTTCTGTTCGATTTAGCTACTCTAAGTTCAAGAGCAAGTTTCAGAGTCTCTTCTGACATCCACTTTGAGCTTTTCTTTCCTGTCCTTTTAATGATCTTTCGCTGTCTTCATGTATGATGTTCTTGATGTTATTCCACAGCTCGTCTGGTCTTCGGTCGTTGGAGTTCAATGCGTCAAATCTATTCTTGAGATGGTCTCTAAATTCAAGTGGGTATATTCAAGGTTGTATTTTGGCTCTTATGGACATGCTCTAATTTTCTTCAGCTTCAGCTTGAACTTAACATATGAGTAATTGATGGTCTGATCTGCAGTTGGCCTCTGGCCTTGTTCTGACTGATGATATTGAGCTTTTCGATCATCTCTTTCCACAGATGTAGTCAGTTTGATTCCTGTGTGTTCCATCTGGCAAGGTCCATGTGAATATGTATAGCTGTCTTTTATGCTGTTAAAAAAGGTATTTGCAACAAAGAAGTCATTGGTCTGCATAATTCTATCATTTGATCTCTGGCTTTTCTATCACCAAGGTCATATTCTCTAACTGCAGATCTTTCTTTGTTTCCAACTTTCACATTCTAATCACCAGTAATTATCAATGCGTCTTGATTGCATGGTTGACCAATTTCAGACTGCAGAAGGTGATAAAAATCTTCAATTTCCTCATCTCTGGCATCAGTGGTTGGTGTGTAAATTTGAATAATAGTCATATTATCTGGTCTTCCTTGTAGGTGTAGGAATATTATCCTATTACTGATAGAACTGTACTACAGGATAGATCTTGAAATGTTCTTTTTGAGGATGAATGTGACACCACTCTTCTTCAATTTGTCAATCCCAGCATAGTTGACCACATGATTGTCCAATTCAAAATGGCCAATACCAGGGCTGCTTCGAGGATTCCTGATAAGGGTCTTGTGTCATGATCCTCCCTGAGGAATAGTCTTTCAATATCTTTAGTTTAACCACAGAGAAAAATGTTTCCTTTGTTATGTAGTGAAGTCCATGTAAGGGTTTGAAGGTTGCAGGAAAAATCCCTTGTTATGAACTTAAGTTTGACTAATGGTTTGAAGGGTCAAGGGGAAATTATTTGTTTTGTACTTAAGCTTGACTTAGGGTTTGACAGTTGCAGGGGAAACAAGCAAAAACTAAGATGGAGTTGGGGCTCGGACCTGGGCGTATCATTCTGATACAGTCCTCTCAATTTTGGAAATCTCACACAAACGTTAAGGGTCACAAGTTTTGGAGTCAGATAGACCTGAATTCAAATTATTCACCTCTATTCATTGGGTATATGACCTCGAGCCTCAGTTTCTTTATCTATAAAAAGGGGACAATAATGTCTGAGTGCTGGTGTGAGGATTAAATTAAATCATGGAGGCATACTGCCTTTTAATAAATAGTGGCCACCAAGGAAGAATAATTTTGTCCTCAAAAGGACATTCCATTCATATCTTTACTTTATTCTTTACTTAAGGATCCCTGGTTATGTAGTGGTTAAAGTTTTCAGCTACTAACCAAAAGGCTGGCAGTTCGAACCCACGAGTGACTCCACAGGAGGAAGATGTGGCAGTCCAGCTCGTGCAAAGATTATTGCCTTGGAAACCCTATGGGGTGGTTCTACTTTGTCCTATAGGGGCCCTTTGAGTTGGAATCAACTTGACAGCAACAAGTTTGGTTTTGGTTTTTACTTTGTCAATGAGAAATCCTCATTGAGTTGGACTGACAAAGTGGCTGCAACAATGGGCTCAAATATAGCAACAATTGTGAGGATGGTGCAGGACCAGGCCATGTCTTGTTCTGTTATACAGGGGGTCGCTATGAGTTGGAACCGCTCAATGGCACCTAACAAAACAACTGTAAAAGAGAAAATCAGGAATCAATCCATAGGAAGAAGCACAGCTTTTATTATGTATCTCTAAGCTACTTAGCATCAAGGTTGTTTTCCAGAACTTTTGCATTTTTTACTGTCATTAACCTTACTGCTCCAAGGAGGAGGGTGTTTCAAGATCATTGATATGGAAAACTTTCAGAAGTGAAAGCAGCATTGTGCTTCTCAGGGATGTTGATGCTATAGCTACAGTTATTTAAACCTGTTGCTGTCCTGTTGATTCCATCTCATAGCAACCCTATAGGACAGAGCAGAACTGCCCCATCGGGTTTCCAAGGAGCGGCTGGTGGATTTGAACGGCTGACTTTTTGGTTAGCAGCTGAGCTCTTAACCACTGGGTCACTAGGGCTCCTATAGTTACTTAGTTATAGTTATATACCTGTTTTAAATACATTCTTACTTTATGTATACATACTTACTTTAAACAACAAAATATCTAATACCATTAAAGCCAGACAACTCTTGTAATTATAACCAAAAACCAAACCCATTGCCATCGAGTCGATTCTGACTTATAGCGACCTTATAGGACAGAGCAGAACCGCCCCCACAGGGCTTCCAAGGAGCGGCTGTGGATTGGAACTGCTGACCTATTGATTAGCAGCCACAGATCTTAACCACTGAGCCACCAGGGTCCCTCTTGTAATTATATTTGGATTAAAAAGTGATTAACCAATTGGATTGCTTAAGGGAATTACATAAGAAGCACAACGGTAAAATGACCAGGTGGATTATTTTTGATGTCATAACTCTTCTGCCTAAGGGAGGATTTTTTAAACAAGAGTCAGTAGCAGAGTAGGAAAGGAGAAAAGGGAGGAGATGGGGAAAGATAAGAGGAAGCAAGAGTGGTTTTTAGTACACAGAAACCTAAGCAGAGATGTACGATGGGTCAATACGGATGATAGCTTTTGTGCTTTCTAAAAAGTCTTAAAGCTTCTCCTTCACTCAATATGATGGAATCAAATTATTGGCAATCACCCCACAGCTACAGTGATCTCCTGAAATAGGAGTCTGTTCATATTACTGGCTTAAAACCCCTCAATGACTCTTATCACTACCGAATAAAATCCAAGATTCTTAGCTGGGCTCTCGGTGAGTTGGCCTCTGCCCACCTGTCTATTCTCTGCCTAGTACTTCACAATTTCACAATCCATGCATTTTCTCCTCAGTCTCCTTGACCTGGAAAGCTAGTCTCACCTTTGTTTGCCTGATTTGCAATGATTTACTTTTGAAAACGCTGTTATCTGCCAAGAAAACTTTCCTGGTCCCATATTCACACCAGTGCCAGCCCCTGCCCTCCCCAGCTTTGTGTAAATTTTTTCTTTTTACAGATCACTTTTCTATCCATTTAATATCCCATATAACTTTGTTTTATTTTGATGGGTCACTCTCCTAGTCCTAATGGTGCTATTTAATCCTTGTATTCTCAGCCTCTGTCCCTGGGTGGTACCAACTGTTAACATGCTCAGCTGCTAAGCCCAAAGTTGGAGGTTTGAGGGTCAAGTCCACCCAAAGACACCTTGGAAGAAAGGGCTCGTGATCTACTTTGGAAAAATCAGCCACTGAAAACTCTACGCAGTGCAGTTCTACTCTGGCACACGTGGGGTCGCCATGAGTTGGAGTCCACTTAGCCACAACTGGTCATTCTCAACCCCTACTCCGTGATGGCTCAAACGGTTAAGAGCTCCGCTACCAGCAGCAAGGTCTGTGGTTTAAACCCACCCAGAAGTCTTGGAAGACAGGTCTGTGATCTGCTTCTGAAAAGTCACAGGCTTGCAAACCCTATGCAGTTGTTCTACTCTGCAACACACGGGACTTGAAGGCAGCCAACCACAAGCAGTGTGGCTGAAATAAACGGCATTTGGTTACCAATGAGCCAATCACCTCACAACACACGTGGAGCTCACACCCATAAAGTATACTTCCAAATCTCAATGCTTGCAAGCGCCCCCAGAACACAAATTACCTTTGCAAGGTTTGCAATGTATGAAGTCACCGTTATTCATTTTAGATCATGACTCCAAGCCTGGGCTAAACCAGATCCGCGCGAAGAGAAATGGAAACCTAGTTTCTAGGAAACAAATATTGAAAGTCCGCTCTGATGAAAAACAGAACAGGCAGTCCCACACTGAACCCCACCCCCACCTCCACCTGCTTCTGCACAGGTCGGGTTTCCAGGTGTTCACTATCCCGGTTTGTACCACATCCCTGTCCCCGTGGCCTGTGGAACGTCATCGAACACTTCTGCCCGGACCCCCGCAGCAGCAGCAGCAGCCGGGCGGCGGGATGGGGTGCGTGTCACTACGCGGTGGCCACCCTCTCCCCCGCGACGCCCCGGAGGCAGGTCCTCCGAGGACTGGCCCTCGGGGTTCGATGCCTTGTACCGCGGAAACCCCAAAAGAAGGAGGGGCCGGGAGGAGTTAATCCATTTCTCGCGATTTGAGCAGGAGCGTGGGCTGGGCCGGGCCGGGGTGGGGCGCCAGAGCGGGCATTCCCGCCGCGCCCCCCGAGCTACCAAACCGCGCAACCCACGCAGTGTCCGAACCAAAAGTGAAAGGAGCTGGTGCGCTGCGTCCCGCCAGCCCTGGCGTCGCGTCCGCGGGGAGGTTGCCGCTCGCTTCCAAGGCGGTGCGGCCGCCGCTTTGTGACTTCACCCGTTTCGCAACAAGCCGGGGCCGCCAGCGCCCCACCCACCCCCGGCCCGGCCGCCTAGGAGCCCGCACTTCGCTCAGCTTTTCGTGCTTGCCCTCCCTCCGGGGCCGGCTCTGCCCTGGCCGTCGCGGAGCCTCTGTCCGGCCGCCCGTTGCTGTCCGCTTCGTGGCCGCCGCCTGGCGGGCTTGGCACGTGCGCGGCCCCCGCCTCCTGGCAGCCGGGAGCACCCCGCGCCCCGGCCCGGCTTAGCGCAGCGCCCTCCTGGCGGCGGCGGCGGCGGCGCAATGCTGTGCTTCTTGAGGGGCATGGCGTTCGTCCCCTTCCTCCTGGTGACCTGGTCGTCCGCTGCCTTCATCATCTCCTACGTGGTCGCCGTGCTTAACGGGCACGTCAACCCCTTCCTCCCTTACATCAGGTGAGGGGCAGGGTGGGCGGCAGGTGGCCAGGGATCAGGCAGAGGGACCACAGCCCAGTGCTGCTAATGGGGAGGGAAGGGGTCTAGACACAGTTGAGGGCATCCTGGGGAAAGACCAAGGGTCTGGCAATGAGGGAAGCCCATGATGGGGCTACCGAACCGAGTTACCACTCAACAGTACTCTGAACACTGTTCATTACTTTGAACGCAGAATAGGGTGGCTTCAGGAGGGGGTTTGGGATAGATGGTAGAACTTTCAGACTGGGTATGGGACAGAGTCTTGGGAAAACACTTTTTCGGTGATATTGGAACAAGCCTAGTTCATGATAGATGCCGTTTATTGAGTACAGATACATCAAAGCACTGTGCTAAACAGCTCATATATTTCAAGGCTACCACACAACATGCCCGTGAAGTAGATATCTAGCCTCTTTTTTCATGCAAGGAAGCTGAGGTTTAAACAGATGACCAAATGTCATCGGTGTGATGCTGATGTCACAGCTAATAAGTGATGGAGACAAGAACTCATATCCAGTTCTGCCCCACAGCAAAGACAACACTATGCTATACATTAAGGTCCTTGGGGGTGTGGCTTAAGCTTTCTCTGAGTGGAGCTACCCAAGCCCTCTCCGGGTACTGTGTACTCAAAGTCAGAGCTCTCAAACTGTCAAATCATTTGTGACATCTCTTGTGTTGCCTTGTGTTTCGGCCTCCACCTTTCCTGAGGGTCACTTCCTCAGTGCCAGGGTCATGCCTTCATCCTCTTTCTGTGGCCACCAGCTCAGTGTCTTGTCCATCGTGGACATTCCTTAAATATTGGAAGGACTCATCGTTATCTAAGTTGAGTGGATTACAACTCATGACCACCCAATGTGTGTCAGAGTAGAACTGTGTTCCACAGAGCTTTCAGTGGCTGATTTTTGCTAAGTAGATCAACAGGCCTTTCTTTTGAGGTGCCTCTGGGTGAACCTCAAACCGTTAGGTTAGCAGCCGAGAGCATGAACTTTGCACCACCCAGGGAGTCACAGCCTTATCTAAGTGGTATGAAACTCCTGGATTGGCATCGGTTGGTGAGGGAAAGGTGACGCCCAAGATTTTTTACCTCTTTATGGCTGAGATTATAGGGCCTGTCCCTCCCTGTAGCCTTTCCACTGTGAACAATGTTCTGTACTTTGTGTGTGGGAGTGAGGAGGGGGAAGAGGGAAAAAGAGGTAAGGCAAGAGAGGAATAGTTTCAAAATGCAAAGAAGAGAGCAATATAGAGAATAGTGTACAGAAATATTTGCAGAAATGGTTGTGGTTTTGCCCACACAAGAAGAGATGTTCCAAACTTGGAGGAGACTTTCCCATCAGGCCTTTAGCTCCTGCAGAGATGTGGGCTTGGTTTCTCGTTGGCACATCTCAGTCCCAAGTGACAAGACTTCCTTCTCTCCTTTCTGAAGCAGGATAGATCCTCTTAGACGTTTAAAAGAAGGAGCTGCTCTCTGCAACACTTTTTATTGAGAAAACAGTAGCTGTTTGTACTGGATCTGAAAGTCATGGCGAATATTTAATACTCATGGTCAAGCTGTCAGAGGCAAGGTTTGGGTCTTTGTAGTTCTCTGATGTATTTGTGATGAACTTCACCTCAAGGTAAACTTGAAATGGAAGGCATTCAGAAATGGGGAAATAAGCTGACAAGACTAACCTCTTGTGAGAGGCTCAAATCACAGGTACTGCAAGGAAGGGGTTTCAAATTTAGTGAGGTGAGGAAGCCTTCAGGAAAAGCAGAATTACAGGAGAAAAAGACATGAGATTGTCCCCTTGTTGCCAGGAGCCATCAACCAAAAACAACAAACACAGGTATTGATTGTGCCTAGGACTTTTGGGTTCTCTGCTCTCTGCCTCCTTGAGCAGCTCAAGCTGGATTGCTTCTGTTCCTTCTGGAAAACCAAGTCAGTGTAGCAAGGGCAAGAAGTATATAAGAACAAAAACATCAAGTAGTAATTAGAGTGATGTCCCCGGCCAGTGCAGAGCTAGTAGTCCTCAGAGATTTCTCCATTTGGTCTACAAACCTTTAACCTTATCTCCTACAACTCATCTTTGATTTCAGTGCTGTTATGGATCTCCGTCACCAACCCCTACACTTCCCTTCAACCACACCAATCTCGTGGTTGTCTTGAATACACCAGGCACATCTCATGGCTTTTGCATTGGCTATTCTTTTTGCCAGAATGCTCTTCCAGAAGGCTTTCTCCCTTATCTCCTTCATGTCTTTGTTCAAATATTATCTCTCTCTGGGACCTGCCCTAATCATTCTGTTTAAAATTCTACCACAGCACTTCTGATCCTCCATATCCAGTCTTATTCACCTTCTAACAAACTTTATGGTTTATTTATTTATTATATTGATTGTCGTCTCTAACTGCAAGGTAAGATCCATGAAGGCTCTCAGTAAATATTTGTCAAATGAATATTTCTCAAGCACTCACTAACCAGTTGCCCTGGAGTCAGCTCCGACTCATGGTGACCTCTTCCTCCCCACCCCCACCCCCACTTCCCAGTGTCAAGAGTAGAAATGTGATTCACAGGATTTTCAGTGGCTGACTTTTGTAAGTAGATTGCCAGGCCTTTCTTTCAGAAGTGCCTCTGGGTGAATTCTTAACAACTTGTACCACTCAGTCCTTGAGCAGTCCCTCTGGGTATTGTTATTCTGGTGTCAGACCTTTGCCCCAGGTCAGGGCAGACCCCTTTTGGGAAGACTTGATAAGATCTACATTTGGTGGTTGGTCCTTGATTTGGATGGTTCTCAGAATGAGCCCCCTTTTACATCCTAACATCAATCTGATGTTGTTCTGATGCTTTTAGCATCGTTGAACTGTTTAAATAAGCCAGAACCATAAGGAGAACCTCCCTGTACTATGACATTGAAACTCATTTTCTTTATCAGATACTTTTATTTGTTACCTTGTTTTTCTTCAGAATACTGGATAAGTGGGCAAGTGGCTCTTAGATGTGAAAAGTTGCTCAACCTCATGAATAGGAAGAAAAGTTCAACTTAAAACCTCAGTGATGCCATTTTTCATCTAATACAGCGTAGGACTGACCCATAGGGTTTCCAAGGAGTGGCTGGTGGATTCGAACTGCCAGCCTTTTGGTTAGCAGCCGAGCTCTTAACCATTATGCCACCAGGGCTCCATTGGATTGGCAGACATCCAAATGTTTAATAGCACACTATGGGTGAGACTTTGGGGAAACAGGCTTTCTCATACATACATTGCTAGTGGGAGTATAAATTGATTCAGTTTTCGGTTGCTATGGAGGGACCTTGGCATTATCTATCAATACCTCAAATGTACATATATGTGTGGATGCAAGAATGGCAAGACTTTGTCTCATTTATGTCACATATGTTATCAGGAGGGACCTGTCTTTGGAGGACATCATTCTTGGTAGAGTCCTTGAAAAAGAGGAAGACCTTCAACGAGATGGATTGACACAGTGGCTGCAACAGTGGGCTCAGACATGCCTACTATTGTCAGGATGGCACACAGGACCACCACTCAGTGTTTCGTTCTGTTATACATGGGGTCACTATGGGTTGGAACCGACTTGACGGCACCTAACAACAATATATTGATACATGTATTTCTTCTCTTGCAAAGAATGACATATCTGCAAGATTACTCATTGTAGCATTGCTTTCAATCCAAAAGATTAGAAACAATACAAATGTCCACCAGTAGAGGACTGGCTAGATAAATATGGTTTATTTAAAGTATTCTTTAAGCAAAAGATTTCTATACATACCCAGCTCATTGTGACCCTGTAGGACAGAGTAGAACTGCCCTATAGAGTTCCAAGACTAAATCTTTATGGAAGCAGCTGGTGGGTTTGAATTGCCAACCTTTAACCTAGCAGCCAAGTGCTTAACCACTGTGCCACCAGAGCTCCTTTCTGTATACATAGCATACTCTATATGCTAAGTATAAACCGGTATGGAAAAATCTCCAAGATACGTTGTTACTTACAAAAAAGCAAGATGCAAAACAAAGTAAGCTATCATTAGTGGAAAAAAAAAAAAAAGCGGAGAAAAATAGTATGTATTTGTATTTGCCTGCATGAAGAAATTAATAAAAGTTTGTCTGTGTATAATGAAGGGAGGAGGACGTCATGGTCAGTGAGCCCTGAGCAGATGGGGAATAAAGGTAGGAACAAGACTGTTCCTGGCATACCTTTTTGTATGTATTTTTTAGCCAATGTATAGGTTTCCTGTCAGAAAATTAGATTTAAAACATGGTATTCAAACAGCCACTAAATGTAACAAGTAGAAATAGCATGATGCGAGTATTTCTCTGTTGTGAAACTATTTATGCAAGGGATGTCAAAACCCAGGACAAATAAAAGTAAACCTCAAAGGATTTGTTTAGATTTTTACAAGGCCACACCCATATTCTCCAGCACACTCATTCTTAGTTTATGCAAAAGTTGTTTTATATTTCTTCAGTGGCGAAATCCCTCAGGCTATCTTAAATCAACTGTACTGACCAACTCGTCTCGGCTAATAGACAGCTCTCTTAATATCCTCTTCTTTGGCATATGTCCAGTGCTTCCAGAGTATTCTGGGACCCTTAACTCTTAAAGTTTTATTAATTCTGAACGCTGGCATTGCTTTTTATTAACACTTATCTCACTTTTTGGGCCAATTACAGTTTTGCTGGACACGTAGTGATCTTTGGTCACCCTCCTTATGACCACAGTCCCTGCTCAGTGGTTGGTGGCAGAAAAACAGGTCGCCTAGAATCAAGCCACTTTAAAAAGGGGGCCAACAGTTCATGGTAAATAAAGTAAGAGAGGTTTGGTTGGATCTTTAATTTCAAAATGAAGCTAAAAATCGGGAAGAAACTCTATCTTGCATTTAGTTAACAATCATAAAATTTAGGTTGTAGTTGGAACTCCATGTATATGCTAATTCTTACTGTGAACAAAAAATGGTTCAGGTGCTGATTTTTTAAGTGGAGG